CTCAGCCGTCCGACAGGTCCGCAATGCTCAAGCGTAGAAGCCGACAGCATCAGTCGAGCAAAGAGAATTGGACCTTCCAAGGCCACCAGCTCACAGCAAGATGGATTTTAGCTTTTGGACGAGCCCACGTGGCTACGTGGGAGTTTCAGGAAACGGGGCTAATGCGAGGGTCCCATGTGTACGGAAATTTTAACGCTACGCCGCCCGCCTCGGCTGTTTAGCGGCAGGGCGAGGGGGCAGTCGATGTTGTATACATGCTAGGGGTGCCTTTCAACCCCAACCTTTACACGGTTGGGGCGGTGGAGGGGGAGGGGGAGGGGCGGAAGGGAGGGAAAGGGGGGGGCGGCCGACAAATCAGGTAAAATGAAGGGAAGCCGGACAACTGACAACTCCCTGCGCGCACCGTCCTGTTTAAGAAGAGGACTCGCAAGAGCATCTGCAAGTTGGAAGAAGCAGGTTGATCATGCACCGAATGTCGCCAGGCTCAACAAAGATGGCAAGGATGAGTGAGTTTTCCGAGGCTGCAGCCTTGACGCGATTTTCCTGAGGGCGGTTTTTAACTACAGCGACTGCGTGCATAAGCACAATCTATAGTAGAATAAGCCAATCGTTGGTTTGTTGATTGCTGCAATGATTCTTTTGCGTGAGGGAAATATGAAGTTCGCCACTGTTTGGCGAAGGTCGGCCATAGGGTTTAGGGTTTAAGGTTTAGGGCGGCGCCCTTGCCCTGGATGCGTCTATGTGTACAAAGACCGTGACGTGTGGGGCATTCTGGAAGGTTGGCCCGAATTGTTCGAGGCAGTGCCAAACGGTTTCACAGTGCCTGAGAATCGCATCTGCATGGAAAAGTGTTGTGGCCAGGATTGCTTCGAATCTCAAAGCCCTGAACCATCAATCAACCCTGGACCCTACACCGCTGCCCCGACTTGTACCCTTGAGGGGCACATATCCACTTGGTCACCAACTCAAGGTACCTGGTGAGGCAACAGTCACATTGGGAGACTAAATGCACCGCTTGCAGTGGGGCTTTGCTTTGCCTGCTGGTTTCTTGATTTATACATGTGTTGAGTTTGGCAGGCTTGGGTGCACATGCATCATTCTAGTCTTGTTGCTGCTGTCCGCCATTTTGGCTCAAGTCTGATCCAAAACGGCGGGCAGCTGATTTTGGAGGGGAGTTGACCCCTTTGCCTTTTGTTCTGAGGGAGTGACCCTCTTGGCTTTCTGAGGGAGTGACCCTCTTCCATGCTATGCAGGCAGATCCTGCAGCATTGTATGCCTTCGCCCGCCTGGCTGTGCACACAGGTACGCAGCTGCTCCACCCGGCGGCACTGTTGGAGTTCCGGGCCAGGCTGCACAAGTTGGTCGAGGCAGGCCAGAGTTATGAGGCCGCCTTGTTGTGGGGCTCAGTTTTGGAAGTGCAGCATTATCCGCCGCCGCCCCGCGGGCTGCTGGAGGGCCTTCCTCCAGGGGTGCCTCCTATCCGCACCGTGCCTTGCGTCGAGGTTGGCTGTGCCAGGTGCCGGGAAGGCAGGGGTGGCTTTCGCTTCCCGTTTGTTGTTCAGCGGCAACCTCTCCGGCTCGAGCTTGGGAGGGTTACCACCAAGGGGGCGATGAGCGCCTCAGTTTTGAGAGGGTCTTCGAGATGGGGTCGGGCTTGTGGCCAACAGACATGCTGCCAGACCATGCCAATCGCCTGGTCCAGCGGGTGGGCGAGGAGTCCCATCCTCGGGGAGCGACCCCGGGTCAGTTGTGGCTGCTTTGGCGTGACTGGCAGCAGGGCGAGCTTATTTGGAGAGAGCCTGCGTATTACCCGATTCCAACATGGGCCGAAGGACGGAGTGACCGTCGTGCCCGGGCCCATCGCGCCCTGTGGCTCTTGCTGGGTGCCATCGAGGCGGGACTGGCTGTTCTCCCGGCTCCTTGCAAGAGTTGCGGTATACCGTCAGTTTTCATCTGCCATCGTTGCCGAGAGCCAGCATGCCTTGATTGCTCGCATTCCTGCCTCTGCGGCTCATAGGTTGAGGGTCTTCCTTGCTGCTTCTTTGGCCGGGCCAATGAGCGGCATTTATGCAGTGCAGGCGATGGAGGGGCAAGCGGGGGCAGTGGATGCCCCGCCTGGCACTGCGGCGGAGACGGTGGTGGACCGCGTCGCAGCCAATGGCGACTTCGCGTATGCCTTCGCCTCCTGGGAAGAGGCTGCGTCGAACGCTGGCCATGCCGTGGCGGATGCTTGGTCTGAGATTTCCCAGGACCTGCAAGATTGGGCTTGGTGGACTGGGGCTGCGGCTGCCGAGTCGGCCCGGCCAGTCGTCCGCCTGAGTAAGCTTGTGAAGCCGGTGGGCGAGACAGCGCCACGGAAGAGGCGGCAGTCGGCAGCGAAGGTCTCAGGCCCTGATGCAGGAGAGCTGGCCGGCTTTATGGTGGAGGCCGGTGCGCGCAGGCCCTCTGACTTGCGCGGGGAGCGGCGTCAGGAGTGGGTCTCTTTTCTGAAGGTGCTGGCGGCGAACAAGGTCGCATCTTCCGAGCATGCCACCGTGACTAGGGCGCTCAAGACCTTGCGGGAGCTGTCACAGTGGCAGCAGCTTCGTGGTCGTGCTGCGGGGTTGGGCGATATCGATGCCATCGACTTGTTCGCTTTCCTCCGCGAGGGCACGCAAGCACCAGCTCGAGCTCTATCCGGACTGCGGTGGTTCACGAAGATGGCCAATCTCCCGTGGGAGCTGGGAGGCCTACAGCCAGCACCGACTCTGGGGCGGGAGGGACCCGCACAGGCAGCTGTGGCTGAGCCAGGTATGCTTGAGGAGCTCGAGCACAGAGTGGCCCAGATGTACGATCAGAGTGATCCCAGGTGGACGTGCCTCTTGGCGGACTGGCTGATCGCTAGCGGGTGCGTGCGGCACAAGCATCTGGCCAGATCGTTCCCGGTGTGTGTCACGCAATCTACAGCCCACTTCTTTTGCTCCCGTGGCAAGCAAGCGCACTCACGAGCCGGGTTCAGATGGGCTGCTCCGTCCCACTTCTCTTGTGGGTTTGCGTGGGCCGAGGCCTGGGTGGAGTTTTACGGTTCCCTCCCAGCAGCTGCGAGGAAGCGGTGTGGCATTTGCTTTGACGCTGCTGGGCGTCCGTGGGAGCTACGCCAGGTCACGCTGCTGACGCAGGAGATTTTCAGCGGTCTGGAGCCACCGGTCACCACCTACTCGTGGCGGAGAGTGGGCCCCTCTGTCGGCTCGCTCCTCCAGCTCGATGAGCTTAGCTTGCTGGCACTTGGTGATTGGGCCGATCGTGGCAAGATTCGCGAGACGGGCGCTTCTATGCCGCTGCACTACAGCGGTACGCCATGAGTGTGCGTGTCAAACACCTGGTCTGGTCGGCAGCCTCCAAGTGCCTCACCTATGACACGTGGTCCGAGGTCCCGCCCAGCATGCTGAAGCGGGAAGAGTCGAGCCTTCAGGCCGAGGTGGCGGAGAAGGTCAGGCTGGATTCCACTGTCATTTGGAAAGCTCCAGCTGGGACGCCGGGCCCTGAGGCGAAGCTGGCCTTCAAGACCACTGCTCTGAAGCTTCGCCGCCAGAGTAGGGCCGCCACAGCGGGAGAGACCCGTCCTCGGCCAGCGGAGCCAGGCATGCCGCCACAGGTGAACGGCAGGGTCTGTTCGGCGTTCCTGCGCAATGGTATGCGGCTGTGCCCTGCCTTCCAGTCTGGGGCCTGCAGGGCGTGTTTGTGGCGGGCGGCATCCATGCCACGACAGACGCCGGATTCACCCTGAGGACGTTCCGCCAGCTATTTCAGCGCCTCAAGAAAGCCCAGCGGGAGAGACCCGCCCTGCTTTGCCTCGCTCACGGCCACCCCCTTTGCCATTGGCCGCTTCTTCCTCGCAGCCTTCCGCGGAATTGGTGGAGATTGAGGTGGAGTGTGAGGAGGAGACACCCCGCCCAAAGCCTAAGCCGAAGGAGATGCCAAAGGCGAAGGCAGCGGTTCGGCTGACACGGCGGGGAGAGCGTGAGGAGCGACCTCAAGCCTCGGCCTCGCCTCGCCGCCTCTTGGTCGGATCGCCATCCCCCTCGAGCGGCTTCTCCAGAGAGGGCCTCTGGCTCACGTGATGTCCCGCAGGCCCACCGTGCCGCCCCGGAGCCTCGGGGCAAGAAGCGCCAGCGCCCTCAGCTCGGGAACCAGGCCGCCCGGTGAACGGGGCGCGCTGGAGCACCCGACGGAGATCTGGAAGAGCCAGGGTGGGGGAAAGCTCTTCTTGGGAGCGCTTCCCACGAAAGGCACCGAGGAGCTGCATCGGGCACCACTCTGCGGGCGGTCTTGAGCGGCGAGAGCCTGGACGAATGCGAGGCTTTCATTCAGGCCCGGCGCGAGATCGAGCTCAACCGTATCCGCCGTGAGAACCGTGACTTGGCCACCTGGATGCTACGAGCAGCAAGGACCACCCGCCTTGGACCCCCACCGCCGCTGCCAGTGGCCTTTGTGGCTACGAACACTTCTTTGATGCACCTTGAGAGCGCAGCCGGCATCACCTTGTGTCAGCATAGACAGAGTAAGGGGGCTCGGAAGTTGGTCAGGCCAATGCGAACCGCTGACCGATTTGAAGCCTATGCGTGGGCCAAAGCGTGCTGCACGCAGTGCTTCGGCATGGCGGGAGCCAAGTGGCATTCCCCGTAAGCCCATCAACCGCCGCTGCGGCCGGGGGGGCACCGTTTGGTGCCCCCCCTTGCGTCGCTTTTTGCGGTTCGTGTGCACCTAGCGCACGAGGGCACAGTGAAAAAAGGTTGCGAGCGTTTGCCTCCACATGTCGTCATGCTGCAGTCGCAGGGTCGCAGAGTTTGCTGTGCTGTTGGGCAGGTGTCGCCTGAGTTGCATGCCCCCCCGCGTGACTGCTGTCTCATGATGGGCAGGTGCTCGCGCATTTTTCGGCTTGAGTGAGGTACATTCGAGCTTGTCTGGGAGCGACCCAGCCGGCAGGGTGCCGAGGCCTGAGTGACAGGCGGGTGGGCAGCATGTCGCAAGCCCTTGTCCCGAGAGACGGGAATGATTTCAAAGCTGCCTTGGACACCCTGTCCTTGAACTTTTCTCTGGCGCCGGAGATTCAAGCTCGGTTGTTGAGTGACGGGTTGTCCCACTTGGAGGAGCTTCGCTTCTTCTTCGACAACGAGGAGCATGTGGGCCGGTGGGTCGCCAAGCTTAGCCTGGGTGATAAGACCATGCTGGAGACCTCTCGCCTCAGGCGTGCGTGGGCAGCCGTCCGGCTCTACTTCTCTACGTCAGAGCAAGATCGGTCTAGGGTGGCTCTTACGGACCTGGATACCCTCCTCGAGGACTCCGAACTGCGCGATGTGAAGCTCGCGTTTTGGAAGCGCTATCGTATGCGGTTCCCCGCCGAGGTGCATCCGGCAGACTCTCTCCTCTCTCGGGACTCTCGGGTCTCCCGGGAGATCAACAAACGCATGCTTTGCGTGTACGCCATCTGGAAGGTACGATCGCTCTATTTTCAGCTTACAACGGTGCAGCGTAAGCGGAAGTTGGGCGATAACCTGTTTACTGAGGAGCCCGACACTGAGGAGGCAGTCACCAAAGATGCCGATACATACCTTGATAAGCTGTACACGCTGCTTTTGGCCTACTCGATGGCAATGGTGTTCCCACTGCCGGGTGTCGATATGAGCAAGGAAGCGGCTTTGAGCGCTTCTTCTGCCGAGTTCGTCGGTGTCCCCCTGGATGTGGCGATGGCTTACTTCTTTCGGGCAAAGAGATGTGTCTCCTAGCTGCCTCCGGCACGCCGGTTGCAGTGGCTGCTGACTAAGGACGTGGAGGAGCGCAGCGAGTGGGTCACGAGGTTCCGAGAGGGCAACTCTTCCCTCGGGCTTATTATTAAGCAGGTCATGGAAGCTCGTGACGCGCGCTGGGTGGTTACAAGTGCTGCTCTTTCAGTCGGCCCGGGAGAGACCCAGGTCGCGGCAGGTACAGCCATCCCGCCTCCGCCGGTGCCACAGGTTTCCCACTTTCGGGAGGGACCCAAAGTGGGTGGTAAGCGAGTGGCGGCGGTGCTCAAAGATGGAACCAAGCTTTGCCCCGATTTTCAGTCAGGCAAGTGCAAAGGCCCCAAGTGCGCCACGCCCAGTGCACTGAGAAGATCAGGTGAGGGTGCCCCGAGGAGGGGGAGGGGGACCTCCCCTCGGGGACAGCAGTGGATCCTCCAGTCACCTCCGGCGACCGCCCGCCCTTGATGATGGATCTTATGTGCGGGCCTAATGCGCCACTTACTCGTGCCTTCCTGTTCTGTGGCTGGCGTGCAGGCCCTGTCGATATCTTGTTGAATCCAGCACAGGATCTCTCTCGGTCGGAGTTTCAGGCAGAGCTGCGACCAAGTCTCGATCAGGCCTGCTTGCTCTTTGCAGCTTTAGATTGCAGCACCAAGTCGGCGATTCGGGAGATACCATTGTGACTACCTAGTGGTCGCTCGGGCCCAGCCCCCCTTAGCAGCCACGAGCATCCGATGGGCTTGCCAGGTCTCAAGATCGACGACCAGAGACGGGTTTCCAAGGACAACTGCGCTTGCCAGTTCGTGCTGGAGGAGCAGCAGCGCATCCTAGAGCGCGGTGGCGGCGCCATTCGGGAGAATCCCAACAACAGCTTACATTGGTGCATCCCCCAGGAGGCAGAGATGTGGGCATCTGACCAGTGGTGGGACACTCGGTACGATGCTTGCTGTTTTATGGGAGCACGGCGGAAGAGGCAGCGCCTCCGGCACAACATCTGGGAGCTGACCCAGGGCCCTTCCTTGCTGTGCCACCATACGCACCACCCACAGGAGTGGCAGCCCTGGGAGGCGAATGGGCGCGTAGTCTATCCTTCCAAGGATGAGGCGGAGTACACCGCCCCGCTCGCATTTCACATTGCCGTGGCCTGCAGTTGGTGATTCAGTGTGTCGGCCGGCGTGAGCATTGGCTGGAGATTGACTCCCGGGCCTTGCGGGAATGGGCTATGTCGTGCTTGGCTATTACCCTCGGCCTTCGTCCTATCGACCCGGGTGAGGCAGCCCGTGTCCCCGTGCGAGTGGAAGTAGCCTCGGTGCTCCGGGAGGACAAGTCCTTACCCCCCGATGTGATCTATGTGGGGCGAGGCCATCGTTCCCACAGACTGCCGGTGACACAGTGGGCTTCACCGTTCGTCTCGGGCCACAACTGCGACGCCGATGAGTGGCTGGCCCTGTATGTCGAGCATGTTCTGTTTTGCAGACGGATCTGGTGCAGCTCGAAGGGCGTACCCTGGCCTGCGATTGTGCGCTCAATCAGGTTTGTGAAGGCGATCTCCTGGCAGGCCTCGTGTTCGATGCCGGGCGCCCTCAGGGCATACCCCATCAGGGTGCAGCAGGTCGGCCGCGCCGAGCTGCACAGAAGCGAAGTCGCCGCGTCTTGCTGGCGGCGGCTGCCTCAGCCCTTCCTACCCCAGTGGGGGCGATGATTCCATATCTGCATCAAGATTCAGTGGTGGCCACTTTTCAGTCATTCTTTCCTGGTGTGGAGTGGGGCGACTTCCGCTTCCCCATGGTCCAGGATCTGGTCAATGCACCCCCGTTTACTGATTACGTGCAATGGTGCCGCGATCGGCATGAGGAGTGGGATGGACCACTCTTGCCGCAGCTGGTGAGTGCTCAGCAGCGCCAGTGGCAGCGCACTGCCGAGGGCCAGCAGGTCGGTGCCGTGGCCCACCGTGCCGCATTGCCTCCCGCCCTTCCTTTCGGCCTCCAACCCGACGTGCATTTCGATCTCGCCCTTGAGCTTGCCAGGTACCCCACTCCGTTCGAGCAGCCTCCCGCCCTCGATCTGGATCTTTGCTATGCGGCCGAGGTGACGGCCAGCAAGCGGGGGAGTCTTCGCGAGTGGCGCAGGGCTTCTCTCGGGGCTATCCGAGAGCTCAAGAGGCGCTGGGCTGGCGTGGATTCTCGACTCCGGGCGAGCCAGCAGGCCCCTCTCCGGCGAGTGACGCGGAAGAGGGATATTGGACTGCTGGCGCTGCTGTGCCTTTTGGTGTCGTGGGGTGACCCGACGCTTCCGCATGATTTTCTTTTCGGGATGGCGGCAGTCGGCACAGCCCCGGTCTATGGGGTGTTCCCCCTTCAGTCAGCGCGTGACATCTCTCATGCAGAGGTGCTGGCTGATGCCTCGGCGTCGAACGCTCGGGTGCGCGCGAGTTTGCGTCCGGGGCGGGACGATGCGTTCCTGTTGGAGCAGAGCCTTCGTGATGCCGAGAGCGGGTTTTGCTCCGAGCCACTCCGTTACCCACAGCTCCTTCGAGCAGTTGGTGGTCTTCCCTTTCGCCTGATCCCACGCTGCGTCATCACACAAAGCAGCGGCAAGCAGCGTATAATCGACAACGCCGACACAGGCGGCCAATCGGAGCTGAGCTCGGACCCAAATAAGCTTGTCTTGTGTTCCCCATTGCGGCCGGCGCAGCATGCGGCGGCTTTGCTTGCTTGCCTTGATGAGTCGTCTCGCCAGCGGGCTGCTGCCGAAGATGCTCTTGAAGGTGGGGGCGAGGACTGGCCCGAGGCCTACCGCCACTACCCCATGGATGGCGCCTCATCCAGGTGCTGTGTTGTGGTGTGGTGGCACACAGACTGGGGTGAGCCAGCCTATCAGCTCTACACTGGCTTGCTGTTTGGCCTCCCTTTGGCGGTTACGAGCTTCAACAGATACAGTAGGGCGGCTGAGGCCTTGGGCCGGCGCCTTCTTGCCATTCTTGTCTCCATGTATTTCGATGACGCTCACCTTACAGACTGGGCTTCATCCAAGGGCTCCGCGCAGTCTAGCTTCGGGGGTTTGAACGCCTGTCTGGGCTCGCCTTTCGCCCCCGCCAAGCGCCAGCCGATGGCCTTGACAGGCACGTTCCTGGGCCTCAACTTTGATTTCGAGGGCTGTCTCCATTCTGGTGTCGTGCGTTTCTTCGTTCGTGATCGGCTGGTGTCCAAGGTGCATGACATGTTGGATCAGGCTGTCTCTTCAAACTCCCTTTCCCCAGGCCTCGCAGCTAAGCTCTATGGGACCTGTAACTTCCTTGAGCAAGGGATGTATGGGCGAGTTGGCGCCGGTGGGCTTCGCGCGATTCGCGAACGCTCGGATGAAGGTGGCCGGGAGCTGACCCCGCCAATCCTTGCTTGTTTCTCTCTCATACGAGCGGTTCTGGCGGTGCGGCCAGAGCGGGAGTTCGAGGTATTGCGTCGACCCGTCGCCCGTTTCTGTGCTGCGAGTGACGCAGCGGAGGACATCCCCGGGGCGGGATCCGGTGGTTTCCACCTAGTCTGGCTTGATTCCACGGAAGTCCGAGAGAGCTTCATAGCCCACATAGGTCCAGAGGTATATGCTCAGTTCACTCCAGGGGAGCATAAAATTGCCCAACTCGAGTTGGCGATGGTGTTGTATGCCCTTGCTGTTCGGGCCCCCTCTTTTCGTGGGCGGCGTGGCTACTGGTATATTGACAATGTGGCCGCCCTGATGTCCCTCATCAGAGGCCGATCGAGTTCTCCCGACCTCGAATGCCTGGCGCAGCTGATTCACATTGCGATGTTTGCACTGCGCACTTCTTTCTTCTTTGAGTACATTCCGTCGAAGACGAACTGGGCTGACGCAGTCAGCCGCATCGGCTTCGCCGAATTATGGCTCCACCAGCGTGGCTTTTCCTGTCACGTTGCTTCTTTTCCCTTTCAGCTCGTGGGTCTCCCTTTCCTCGCCGTGCTGCGGGTGTTCGAGTTTCTGTGAAGGAGTGCTTTGGGGCTAAGTGCATTGGGTGTTCCGTCCGGGGTTATGCATCCGAAAGGGGTTGACCTTTCGTTGCATTTCGATACCTCGAGGTTTTACCAAAGCACTATCCCGGTGAGCCCGGGTTCTCCTTCATAGATTCGAACGTGTTGCAGCTGTGAGTGCGAGTTGCGAAAAAGTGTCGAGCACGAGCTGATAGGTTGCTGCACAAGAGGGAATGTATACATGTGTTGAGTTTGGCAGGCTTGGGTGCACATGCATCATTCTAGTCTTGTTGCTGCTGTCCGCCATTTTGGCTCAAGTCTGATCCAAAACGGCGGGCAGCTGATTTTGCCCACCCACCCACCCTGATTAGACCCGGTCTCCCGTGGAGTCCCCCGGTCTAGTTGGGGTTGCGCGTGTTGCGACTACCTTGAGGTCTGAGGGAGTGACCCTCTTCCTGGGACGGGTGTTCCGTCCGGGGTTATGCATCCGAAAGGGGTTGACCTTTCGTTGCATTTCGATACCTCGAGGTTTTACCAAAGCACTATCCCGGTGAGCCCGGGTTCTCCTTCATAGATTCGAACGTGTTGCAGCTGTGAGTGCGAGTTGCGAAAAAGTGTCGAGCACGAGCTGATAGGTTGCTGCACAAGAGGGAATGTATGAGCATAAGGTTCATTTTGCGATAGTCTACAGATTGTTGCGTGGCCATGTTGAGGCCCAGGGCAAAGTTTACCAATGTCGCACAAAACAATCATGGTGCTAATTACTTTTAGTTAGCCTGTCGTCATGGCAAAATGGAGAAAGCAGCTGACGTGATAACGCGGGGCTCCCAGGCTGGAACCGTTGAGAATCCTAAGATGTCAAACAGTACCTGTCAGCGTGAGGATCCTGATAAGAGAGGCACGCATAGGAATGCAGCTGTGAAGGAACATGTGGCAGTTAACGTGGCCAGAAAAGTTGTGCGTAGGATTCAGGGAGGCAGCTCAATCCTGTTACGAAGGAGTGAAAATGCATCGATGTTGCCATGCTTGTGCGCGACCTCGCAAATGACAAAAGCTGGGCTTGGCTGAAGCACGCTCGCGGGGTTACTGTGTATTCGCTCCTTAGCCTACGGCCTGCTTTCAACAGTTTGCGAATATCTCGGGGCAGTTTTCTCACAGATTTGTCCACATCCTGCATAGCATGTGGCACAGACTTGCGTCACGACACGCTGTTTTGGTAGAGAGCGTGCAGCGCTAACCCGGCCCGGCAGTAGTCTGCAGGGCAGACGTGCAATGGGTTGCTGCTGCATCCGTCGGCACCCTGCCATGCTCTCAGGGTAGAGCCCTGCTGTAATCGTGGTGTATTGGTGGCCTTTGCCAACCTTGCATGCTTTGGCAGTTGATGTTTGCAACTGAGCCAGGCTGCGGTACAGGAGTCGAGCACTGCCGGACATCCAGGTCCATCTCCTGAGCGCTGCCGGAGTCTGAGCTGAGCATGCGTCACCTTTGGGTTGTTGTTCAGTAACCTGCAGTTGCCCCAGCAAGGAAGCCACAAATCCATATGCTTACTACAGATCCATACCATGGTAACATGTGCTAACTCCATCTCAGTTCCTTGACAGCCACCGGGTGAACCTCAACGTCTTTCGCTTTCCCTGTAAACCGTGCGCAGGTGGTATCAGTGATGAGCCTGCAGAGCCTTGCTCGCGCGCTGCGTCCTCAGATTCTTTCACGTGCTTGCTTCTGTAGGGTTTAGGGCTTGGGGTTAGTGTCCCTCATGACGTGCGTGGGGACATGCGTCAGCAGGATGAAACATCTGGCAGCGTTGCCAAATTTCAGTGGATTTTGGGAGTTCAGCTTCGGCAGATCACATGCTGGCTTTGCCATTGTCCCGCCAGTGTCCCGCCGCAAACCCCGAACCATCCCCTGAACCCAAAACTCTCAAGGGCTATTCAGTCGCAGACTCCGAAGATGCTGTGGCTGTAAACCCTGGACCCGCCTAATCCATGAAAACCCTAAACCCTGAATCCCAAGCCCCAAACCTCTGGCCCTTGAGTTGTCCCCGAGAAGGAACACGATGCCTTGCATCCTTGCGCTCAAGTTTCGGACGCAATTGAGATGGAGGCGCAGCACGGCGGGAGTGGCCCTGGGGTTGTTTTTGCTGGACGTCTTCTAGTGTTGATGACCATCACTGCTGGGTTTGGGTGTGTGACTGTGATGGATCTGTTGGTGTTAGTCTTAGTGTCGCTCTGCGAGGTTCGTGATCTAATAATGGTTGGACTTGTGATTCGCTTTTGTCATGTCTTCACCATCGCTTTAAGGATTGCTAGGTGCTACTCTGAACAGAGGAATGGATCCCCGCAGCAGTCGCCGTAGAATCTCCGTGAGTTACAGTTACAGTGCCGGTGGCCCATTCCTTTATTTTCTGGCAACCACCAGCAAGACACAGTAACAATGCGCAGCATCAGGGATGAAGATCGTGCGCTACTCCTTCAGCAGGGACACAGCAGTATCGAACGCTTGGCAATGTCACGCAGGCTTACGTGATCTTACGTGCATGCGCTCGCCGACAAGCAAAAAGCAGTGTAGTGTTGCCTGGTCTAAGTTGGACAGCACTTGGTGTATCGACAAATTTGTTGGCATCGACGTTGTTACCATCGCAGCACATACACACACACAGGTAGATCTGTGCAGCTGTAGCTTGAAAGCTCGGACGACCGTGCGTTTGTTATATGTTGTTTGCAGGCTGTCGGCACGACGCCATTCTTGCGAGCCAGCCACTTAGATCACTTAGCAGACTGACAAACCTAGCTGCTTCGTCAGAGTTGGCATCAACAATTGCCGTGCCAGACCTGTCGTCCCGGCGACATCATGATGGTGCTCTACAATGCCTGGCCAAGCCACGCTATCTTATTGGCTTCTGAGAAGCTGCCTCAGCTGATCTTTGCTGTGTACATTTTATCGTGATGCTGCTCTCGCTGTGCCCAGGGTGAGACCATGGTCAGTTCATGAACGCCCAGCCCCAGAGGAGCTCTGCAACGACGTATGATTGTGTGACATTTCATACAGCCCCGAACTGGCAGGAGGAATATGACCTACCAGTCGACGTTCACCTGGACGCCATGGATGCCCTTGAAATAACCGACACAGTCGGGGGCCTCGGCGAATCGCTGTCCAGTGACGCTTTGTGCCGCTGTCTGGCCGAGGACGGTTTTTTCGAAAGTGTGAAGGTGTTCCGCGGCGATCTATACTTGGGCCAAGTGATTGGAGGTGACGTGTAAGTTTGGCGGGAATGCCGCTGCGACAACTGGGTGTTTGGGCCATCTTGAATGCCTCTGCGTGCAGGCGTGTTTTTCTGGGAAGAGAAGCAATATGAGATCTGGCAGTCTCCTTGCCAGTCCTATGAACTTCGACGTGAGGCCACGTCGTTGCCAAGTTCGCTTCGGTGTCCAGCTGATATGGTTACTTCAAAAGCCCTGCATGACTTTCATACATGAGAGTAGAATTCCAAAGGTGTGAGGTAGGCTCACGCAGGCTTTTGAATGCCGTAGGTGCTTGGAGACGTCCGACGTCGCCTTCTAGGGCGAGACTGGAGCCGGGCCCACGCAAAGCTGCTAAGCGCGAGCGTGCGCGAGCGTGTGTGTGGACGAGCAGACATCTACAGGTCTGACGTCTGCGTTGGCTTCTTTGTTCTGCCAGCTGTGCAACGAGTGATGAGCCCAGATGGCCGAGTTGGAGCATGGACTTTGAAACTTGTATTGGCTGATGCTTGATGCTGATTTTTGCGGCCGTCATTTCATTTAGTTGAGTGCCTGACTTGGTTCTCGTGAGCCTCTATAGTCCTGATGTTGGAAATGCGGCGGTTGTCAAATGAGGCCAGCCATGCCAGATGACATCGTTGAGCCATCAGCTGAGTTGAGAAAATTTCCTTGATCCAAGATGTGAGTTTGGCTCTGGATCCCAGGCATGGATACTTTTGCGTGTCGGTTGTTGTCATATTTTGGCAACTGGTGTTGCAAGCTGACGGCGGCAGTGCATCTTGCCGGAGACTGGTCGGGTGCTTTCAACGCATGGGGTGCCATGTAAGGTGTTTTATATTGGTTTGGGTTTGGCAACCGAGGCGTCAGTATTACAACTGAATGCGGTGCGCTGTTCACCGGCGCGCTTGCGGTCAGCTTTACGACGTGATGGCTGGAGCAGGGTTCCGCAACTGGCCCAAGGAGAACCTGACCTTGAACTTGACTGTGGAAGTTATGGCTACTTCCGGCTTGGGGAGAACGATGTTGAGGTGGAGTGCGGGGGTTGTGGATACTGCCGCCATGGCCGCTGCCGATGCCTTCCGTGGTGTGAGGAAGGCGCTCCCGACTGCCCACGTTGAGGTGGAGCTTTGTGAATATTGTCGGTATGGCCGCTGCCGATGTTTTCCAGGGTGTGAGGAAGGCACTCCAGATGTTGCATGCGAATTCAGGCAAGACTTTACACGCTGAGGCGGAGCCCCATGTGGGCTTCTGTGCGCGTTTCCAGAAGCCAATTACTTCAGCATAAAACCCAAATGGGGAGACCTTTGCAAAGAGGCCGAGGGAGAGGTCACAAACTCGACGAAGTTGCAGTTGAGAAAGGCAGTCCAAGGCAGTGATGCTTGAGTTTGCGCGCTCTTGTTTCTTGCGTGAGTTTTAGCGCGAAGAAGTCAGAACTGGGTCAGAACCTTTGATGAGACAGTCGAGTTCATGCCGAAGGCGTTTGGGTCGAAAGAAGAAGTTGTATAGCTTTGGTTCTGAGCCATGGGGGCGTGTGAGGGCAAGGTAGAAGATCTGGGCAGCGAGCTTGTGGTGGAAGCCGTCAAAGCCGACAATGGCCCCGAAAGCTTGGACATGTTGTATCCAGAGTTCATGGCGCAAACTTCGCCATTCCTCCCGATTCAGGAGTGTGGGACTGTCACGGCACATGTGATCCTGCATCTTGTGCCCACTTTGATTGTACTTGATTGGTGCATGTCTCGGCTCTGCGCAGGACTTTGCGGAGCTTCGGGTGACTTGCCGTCAGCCTTCCAAGACGCAGGCAGCACAACCTTTTAGCCGCTGTGACCACGTAGCTAACAGATCCAGTGCTGGGATGAATGAGCCTTGCTACGTTTCGCGTGAATCTCATGATATCTCGTGCATAGGAATGGGGGAGGCTCGGAATGGAAGGTATCTTTCCGGCCCGTGGGCGGGCGCTGACTCTCACTGTCACCCTGATTCCCACTCCAGTTTCATTCGCTCACTTGCAAACTCGCTTTTTTTCATTTCGACTTTACGAAGACATGCCTGCTTACGTTGCCCCGTGCAGTTCTCGACTGAGGGGTGTGTTCCACGCCCCGCCACGCAAAACATCAATGTGCTTCACGTTGCACTCATGTAGAACTTGCCAACGACGAGCTTTCCCACCACAACATCCAGCAATTTTTGGTGGTGCTGCTTATTGCTTGCTTAACGGAAAAACAGTCTGAAACGTCAGAATCTCACATGGACGCGTTTAGTCACAGGGTGTGTCACGCTCGAAGCTCGCCAACCGCTGTTGGCATCGCCAGCCGGAGAATACAGAAACAAACCCAAAAAGCCAAAACGTGCAAAAGTTTTTGTCTTTACTGCGACTGTTCGCTACTTCTCGGTTTTCGATTTGTAAATGCCGCATTTATGCATTTTTCGGCTTTTTGACGAGTGCTTGAGACGTGCACCAGTAAACAAAACATCAGACAGCCCTGGTGAGTCTGGGTGCAGGAGTAGTTGTAGCGACGCGCGCCACTAAGAAAAGCATCGACTAGTACTGGTTAGTCAGGGTGCAGGACTAGTTGTACCGACGCGCACCATCAAACAAAACAGCCCAACCAGATGGAACGCAAAGGCGGCGAGCCTCATTGGGCATGCTCCCAGTTTGGACCCCGCCACTTCCTCCTAAAAACGGGTGCGGCGCGCCCAACAAGATGGAACTAAAAAGGGCGAGCTTGTTGGGTGTGCTCCCAGTTTAAGCCGCGCCACTTTCTCAAAAAAGGGGCACGCCCAACAAGATGGAACTCGTTGGGCATGCCCCCATTTTTGGGCCGACATGCACCACCAAACAAAACATGTTCAAGGTACGACTACTTGTAGCGACGCGTGCCACTAAGCAAAACGTCGAACAGCACTGGCGAGTCAGGGCACAGCAGTAGGTACGAGTAGTTGTAGAGACACGCACCACTAAGCAAAACATTGGGCGATACTTCTTGTTTAGGCCAGGAGTAGTTGTAGCGACGCGCATCACTAAGCAAACATTGACCAGTACTGTATACTGGTTAGTCAGGGTACAGGAATAGTTGCAGCGACACGCACCACTTAGCAAAACATCGAGCGCTACTGCTTTTGCAAGGTAGGAGTAGTTGTAGCGACGCCCACCGTTTCAGCAAAACATCGAGCGCTGCCTTTTTCAGGGTAGGGTATTTGTAGAAACGCGCGCCGCTAAGCAAAACATCGAGCAGTACTGGTTGGCCTGGGTCGGTATACGCGAAACATCCAACATTACCGCTGGGTCAGCATCGAGCAGTACTGGTTACTCTGGGTCGGAGTAGTTGTACCGACGTGCACCATTAAGCAAAGCATCGCACGGAGTTGTTTAGCCGCGGTTGGAGTAGTTGTACTGACCCGTGCCAGTCAGCAAAACGTCGAAGGGTACTGGAACGGTGCTGTTTACTCAGAGTAGGAGTAGTTCCAGCGTCTGACTGCGCAGACCATGCAATTAAACCGTACATTGAATGCCGCTGTTCCTGACTTTCCGGATTTTGCAGACCTTTCGGACTTTTTGGGACTTTTCGGTACTCTTCGCGACTTTTCGACTTTTCCCGATTCCTGAACTTGTCAATTTCCTTTCCACATTTTCCAAGACTTTTCGATTTGTCGTGTCTTTTTGACTTTTCTGTACTTTTTGACTTTTCGGTGTTTTGATTTTTAGGATGTTTTTGACTTTTCGAGATGTTTTGATTTTTCGACGTTTCTCGACTTCTCTCCTGTTCGTGACGTTTCCGTATTTTGAACTTCTCGACTTTTCGGGTTTTGGCGCGCCTTCTCCGCTTGCGGTTTGTGGTGCCCTTCGCAATCTCTCTGTTGCGCACCTGCACATACATTCATTCACTCACGCGGCTCCTTCACTCATTGACTCCGGCCGCCCACTCAGCGACTCCGTGAACACAGTCTGGCTCATTTCCCCCTCACCTACTCGCCTGCTCACGAGGCGAACCGCACGCTCACCCATTCATGCAGCCACTCACTCGCCGCTCGCTCAAAGACGCGCGGCTTGAAGTTCTGCTCCATCTACAGCTGCTAGTGTGCTAGTGCAGTGTCGATATACTGCTAAACACAATGTCCGGTTTTCTTTTTGTTGCTGTGGTTGTGTGCAGGCTATGACTGAGATCCGAAAGGCCCACCGGTTGGTGCAACCCAAGCTGATCAGAGGGGCTAAGGCAGGGCATTCTGCCGAACAGCTGGCCACGCAAGCCAGGCGACGGCCGAGGTTTAGGCCACGCCGCACCATCACACGTGGTCTGTATGAGTACACTGATGACTACTGGTGGGACTGGGCTGGTTTCCTTGGACTCCGCGAGTGCTACACGGGGAAGTGAGACCCTCCAACGGCTCGATGGACGGTGTACGACGTGCAGACGCCGATGACCTGCAAACGCGATCTGCCCTGACAAGCACTGCCTAGAACTCCCATATCATTTTCTGGCGTAACATGGTCGCAGGCAATTACTATGGGTATGAGTATTCTGGGATGTTCAGAGACCTCTTTGAGCATGAGCACTTGTGTTGGGAAAGATGGTAACATTTCAAGAAGCTGCTTACGCAGGTTCTGGAACCGTGGTCAAAAAACACATGTGAGAATGGAGAGTCTGCGCCGACGCTGCTAAATCTGGGTCCAGCTGTCGCGCAATTTCCCAGCACTTGGGCAGCCCGGAGTGGCAGAGGCGCGTGAAAGGATACGGAGATATACCAATACGACACCAGACGTAGACAGATGGATGGATGGGGTTGCTTACAAGATGCGCGCATGGCACTTCGGGAACTCCGGTGTGCGTGAGGCATCGTTCTGCTCTGAAACTTGCTGCATGTGAGGCTGGCGAGCTGGAGGAAATTTCGATCGCTTGCGGACTTCGGTGGATGCCTGCGAAGGCCAGGAGGAGAGAGAGAGAGAGAGAGAGAGCTCCCGCTCCAAGCCCCTGGCAAAGCAAAGAGAGAGAGAGAGAGAGCCGTAAAGTCCCCGTGATGTCATAATTCGCTGTTGCGTGACGCACGAGCGGGGGACTGAAACAACCTGTGGTGATCCCATATTTCTTGACCCTTATGCTCCTCGGACTGACAGGGGAACGCCCAGAGTTGTGCATGTGTCTGTTGAAAATGTACGACCCTGGTAACTGGTAGTCCGTCATAGTATACTTGTATGGCTTTAGCTCGCACCGGGGTCTACATTTGACTTTCACCCCCCAAAAGCCCGATAAATCATATCGGGTGGGCAAGATGCCCGGGGGTCTTGATCGACCCCTATGCCCGAGAGAGAGAGAGAGAGCCAAGCAAAGGGAGAGGGAAAGAAAATGTCGCTTCTTCACAGTTGCAGGTGGCGCGGCGGAGTTTGGAGGCGCGTCGGCTGCAGGAGGTTTCTTAAGCAGAGAAGTCGCGCTGTGAGCTGCGGCATATCCTCTCGAGGCATGCGCTTGTGACGTGGAAGCGAAGCCGAGAGCTCCCTCGGCTTCCACGGCCCTGGAACCGCTTCATTGTTGGTCCGACGCTGTCCTCGCAAGCTTCGTGGGAGAATGGCAGAAGCAGCCGACGAGCTCTGGCTTTGGCAGTGGGTTCTTCACCCTGGCACCAAGCGTGCATGCGTTGCGGCCGTGATCTGCGACAGGGCCTCGCACCGCTCCCTTCCATCGAGGACCGCAGATGTTGATATCAGCGGAAGCTCCCGAAGCCATCGAGCTCTTGACACCTGGAGCATCCGGCCCGAGTCCTGGGAAGCTGCTTTCAGCAAGGCGCATGGGAATCTTAGCCAAGCTGGAGGGGAGGCGCCTTTGGCCTGCTTCTTCTACACCTGAAGCTTCAGACGGCTCGTCGGTTACATGCAGCTGCCGCGCACGGTCGTTTTTTTCGTGATGTACGTCGTCTTGCACCGCCGGCTTTGCTGTCACCACAGTCTGATGGCCTCAGGTTGGGTGGACCGCGAGGGACTGCCCTTCCAGCTTGCAGCAGCACAGGGCAGAGCCCTGGCTGTGGAGGCAGCTGATTCCGATGCTGCCTTGCTCCGTTGCATTGTTGGTGATCCTTTTTGTGCTCCTCACCCTGGCAACGGCGTTGCTTCGAAGCGAATGCCGAATGCGCTGCAGCTGCCAGTTTGGCAGCCCTGGCTGCGGCTAGGGCCGAGCGCATGATACATTGAACCGGAATCAGTATCGCAAAACATTGGCGCTGTTGATCTGAGAGCCAGGAGACCTTGAGATCAGCGATGCATAGATGGGCCCGGTGTGCATGTCATGTGCCGCATTTCACGTTCGCGTCTTGGTTTCCTTGCCCGAGTGAAAGAGTGGAAAGAGTGTAGTCACCCAAAGCTTGTGTGATGCAGAATGCCCAATCCCTGGCAAGATGTTAGACTCTTAGACGTTTTCCTTGATCGGATCATCCGGGATGCATTCCTACAAGCCGGAATCCATGCTCTCAGTCCTTGGCCACGTCATGTTGAAAGCTTAAGCCTCACACCCCCAACCCTCATAACCATCACCGTGAACTAGCATCAGTTCCTCGGTCCTCAGACCTCAACCCTCTGGCCATATCGCTGTGGTCCGACCTTTTGGCAAGCTTCGTGCAAGAGCGTTCCGGAAGGTAATAACTGGAGCAAACAAGTGACGCATCGCGTCCCGTGCGGACATTCTCATTGCTTTTGGCCTACGGGCCTACCGTGCCTTTGCCATGGGCTGTTTCCAGTGGCTGTTTCGGCAGCAAGAGGCCCAAGGGTCAAGAACAGAGACATGTCAGTCGCTGTCTTTCACTTGGAGTAATACTTCCGCACTACAGCGTTGCATTCTTCCGTTTTGATGTTGTTCTGCTGTCATAGATGGCCAGGCTGCTGGTCCTTTCGGCGCTGCGTTCGCAAGGATTCTCGTCGAGGCTGCGGCGCAACCCTGCGTCGTGTTTGTTTGATTAGATTCGTGCGTATCCTACTTACAGTCACATTAATGGCTGCCGCCAATGCCGCCGACCCCAGAAGGAGGCAAGAGGACGAGCAACCCGACAGCGCCCAGGCCTTTGACAACCCTCGCCCAACCCCCCCGGCCTTCGTCGAACCCCCTGGTGTGTGTTACATATACTATTTACTATAGACTATACTATGGATAATTAAGTATAATAATACTTACTAATACTCTACATATACTATATACTACATTATTGGTATTTAGTTTATTATTATAGTAACACTAATACTCTATAAACTGTATATAACTATAGGTTCGAGCCTTGATACCGTCTAAACACCTAGAAAGTAAACGCAAAGCCAGGGGTCTGTGTGGTGTGGGCGGTGACGGCGGTGGGGGCGCTGTGGGCGGTGTGCATGCGGTGACGGCGGTGGGGGCGCTGTGGGCGGTGTGGGTGGTGAGGGCGCGGGGGGGCGCGGGCATGCATGGCGGCCTTTAAATACTCTCTAAACACCTGAAAATACGCAGAACTCAACAGTACTGCGGTGGCGGCAGCATGGCTGGGCGGGCTGCATGGGCGGTGTGGGCGGTGTAAGCGGTTGGGTGCGGGCACGGATTGGCGGCCTGTAAATACCGTCTAAACACCTAGAAAGTAGCGCAAAACCAAGGGTCGGGGTGGTGTGGGCAGTGACGGCGGTGGTGGCGCTGTGGGCGGTGTGCGTGCGGGCGCGGGGGGGGCGCGGGCATGCATTGGCGGCCTTTGAATACTCTCTAAACACTTGAAAACGCAGAACTCCGCAGTACTGCGGTGGCGGCAGCATGGCTGGTGGCAGCGGTCAGGCAGTGTGGGTGGTGGGGGTGCTGAGAGCGGTGCCGGTGGCGGCAGCATGGCTGGGCGGTGTGGGTGGTGGGGGTGGTGAAACAGAACTCCACATCCACAGTGGCTGGAGGCGGTGGAGCGGTGAGGGCAGAGGGCATCCACAGTGGCTGGAGGCGGTGGAGGAGGTGAGGGCAGAGGGCGGTGAGGGCGCAAGGGCAGTGCTGTCTAAAAGCCCTCCCCAAACAACGAAAACACCTCTCGGGATATCACTGGCGCCGCCCGCCAAAGGGGTCGGCGGATAATCGCTAGGCTGGGCATGTTTGAGCGGGGTGGTCTACGCATGGCAAGCACAGATACAAGCACGAGAGTCTTCCTGGAGTCTTGATGGAGGAATCTAGTGCTTGGGCCTGGGCAGGACCAGAAGGAAGTTCGGCCTTTGAAGCAGGCATCGTTGCTGGTGCCAGATTTGTATGCCTCGTGCTCTTTGGACTCGAAGCTTGCCCCTTTGCAAGACGGGTGCCTGTACCTGCGCTGCTGGCGGCGCCTGGGCAAAAACCCCAGACTTTCTGGCAATCAGCTCAGGGGTTGGTGGTGGGACACCCGGGGAAAAGCTACCAGCAAACAGACCGTTCTTTCTGAGGCAAGGCCGTTTTCAGTGCAGCCCGAACTGTCAACTCCGCGAAGTTCCAGGCAGTCGATAGAGTCGACAACCGAGAACTAGTTTCAATCTGTCGTGCTGGCAAGTCGAGGCCTTCGGTGGACACTGCCCCGCCATCTCCGCAAGATGTTTTGGAGGACAGCCGCAGTTGTGATTTGGGTCCGAAGCACAGCACATCTCCTTCAGGAGTGCGACGAGCATCAGGACCAAGAGACTCTTTCGACATGCGCACTTGAGTCGAGTTGAGTATGCGCTCGGGGTTCCAAGAGTCGGCAGGATAGAGATGACAACAAGACATTGGATGCTCGTGGGAGGACGCTGGCCGCACATGAGAGAATGCTTTTTTCAGCTAATTGCCGTGTGACGCTTTTCGCCAGCACCACCTGTTTGGTCGGGTCGTCGATGTCCGCGAACACCGCCAGTTTCGGTGCCACCTTGTTACCTGTGTCTCCTTTCCAAAAAAAAAGCTTTTCGTGCAGCTGGCACATGCTGTGAACATGTCTGATGCCACGATTCGCCACCGAATGCCACCGACACATCATTCCTGTTTGCCTCTGCGGGTGCTACGCATTGGATGCCTTTTGCAACTTGTGTCCTTGTCTTCCAGCGTGGATCAGGACCAATGAGAAGTTCGAAGCTTTGTTCAGAGACATCCAAGACGGCTTCGAGATGGCAAGGCCGGCACCTCCACATCGCGATGTTTCCGAAAAACGTGCTGTCTGCAGGCGACAGGGCCTGGCATCTTTCGACAAGGCAGCTCAGACCTCAGATTCAGTTCATTCCAGAAGTAGTCTCCCTTCGTGCAGAACGCTGCTGAAGGAATGGATGAAGGCTACGTTGGAGTTTTCGACGGCCTTGTGCATGCTGGACTTGGCTTGGAGCCCAGTTCCTGAGCTGCGTAACAGCACGGCGAGTATTTGCAGGTAGGCGGTAGGTTGCTCAGCCAATCTCTGTCTGTACCATTTGCCGCCTCTTCTCAGTATCCCCCGGAGAAGAGACACGCGTGCGGCTCTGAGACTGATGCTGTGGCTCTACTGCTCTACTTGTGGCTTGCTGCTTCTGTTCCCAGTGCAAAGTGCGGCCGACCCCGCTCCTATAAGGTCTTGGAAGCAGAGCATGTCGGAGCTCTTTGCAAACAGATCCCACACGCATCTGCGACTCAGGCTCCTTGCTTGCCCTCCAAGTCATGCGACTTGTGAGTGGATGTTGTAATATGCGCAGTGCTGTGTGCAAGGCAGTGGGCAGCAGTAGAGGCCCGTGGTTGCTTTTGTGGGACTCACCCTGTACGTCATGTAAGTGAATCTGTCAGGACGACGTTACACGCTGCCTCGAGATGAGCCCCGAGGCCGCCTGCCGCATGATAGATGATACCACAAACTGCGACGACTGTTTGGTATCTTTGGATATGATAATGGGGGATGGAGGGTGGTGGGGAAGAAAGGATGTGGGAGGCCCGTTTTGGGAACGGACATCGAGACATTCGTTGTCCATTAGGATGCCCGCCTGTCCTGAGCTATGACTATACTATCTTGGTCTTGGCACGTAGACGTAAATTCCTAAACTCCATACGCCACAAACCGATCAAACCGATAGAGTGGCTGGTGCATAGCGGCCACGCTGCCCGCAGGTCACAAGTTTCCCAAAGTGTAGCTGTGACTGCTCGTCAGGTCGCACGCACACTCATCATTTCAAGTCTGTTGCAATGCAATCTGTGGCTCAAGGACGAAAGAGCCGAGAGCTGAAAGCTCATGGCTCTTGAGGTGGCAGATCATACTCCTACATACCTCGACAGCCATACTCTATCTCGGCGCTATATCTTCAAGTTTGTTGATATCGTGGCTGTTGTTTTCGAAAGCAAGTGACATTGCAAAGACCGCTGGTTCAAAAACAAGCAACAGAATCGGCCCGTTGTTATGTCAGGGTTGGAGCCAGTGGCGCTTTTCCACAACTATATCCACAAGAACTGACTCGAGGTGTTGGGAAGTCTTTACCAAACCCGCGCGCACGTCTTGCCGTGGAACCTGCTTGCTCAATTGTTGTAGCCACTCGCCTTCAGGGAAACCTTAGCCTTCAGACCCGAAACAGTGAGCGACAATGTGGACTTGTTAGAGCATGGGAACTCCACCACACGAGACCCAGGCGAGCAAGTCCAACAGCGACATGACCAAACATGGGCACACGGAACTGGGACGAGAGCATCATTTGCAAGGATTCCAAAGTCTGGCCATAAGAAGGGAACCCATCCAAGAACCCGAAACCCAAAAACATGCAGAAACGTGCTTGCCTGTCACGTTTTCGTGTGACGTGGAGCAGCACAGTCCTTAAAAAGCGCACGGGACATAGCGGGCGCACGATTTGGAAATTGTGGAGTGCGGAAAGTGCAAAGGGCTTAGGCGAGGGCGATTTGGCAATGTTTGGGACCTCTCCGAAACTCAAAACCGCACAGCCCGTGGCTAGCCCAGAGCACGGTTTTGACCAGAATGCAATCAAGCTCTTACCCTTGATGTCGCCACCATGTAGTAGTGTTGACCCAATCCCTCGCCGGGCTGCTCGCCCTTGATTGGATGTCAGGAGCGCCCATGGCTTGCTCCACGTCATGCAACACAAGAAAAGACAGGAACTACTGCCGGTGATCACAGGAACGAAGATTACTGCACAAATCCAGGCTGCAGCACCGCCGCTGCATATCGCAGCACGAAAATTTCGCCGTGTTGTGTGCTCTCTTGGCTTTTATAACCTCCATAACAAGCCAAGGGCTATGCT